CTATAGTAAAAGAAACATTTCAGTTACAGATGCATTATCACAAACTCCACTTAAGACTAAGGGCTGGATAGATCGATGGAAGCCTTACCTCAATGCATGGAAAAGATTTAGGAGTAAAATTGAAACAAGCAGCTCCTGGCCATGGTCACTAATGGACATCAAGATAGGAGAAACACCAGGCAACCAATACAAGGTTGAAAAAGCCTTAAAGAGCTTAAACGCCTCACCAGACCTCTATACAAATTATGAATGGCTACATACTAAAGGAATTCTCAATAAGAAAAAGGACATAATGTGGTGGCTGGCCCATCAAGCCTTGCCTCTTGGCTATCGACTTCTACATATCAGCCAAAATAATCTCGGAAACTGCCCCAACTGTATACATACTACTCAAACGCTTGAACACTTTGCCTTAAAATACCCTCTAAGCAAGATAATTTGGGAAACAGCTTACAAATTCCTCAAGTATGCAGCCGAGCCAATCCCATCTACAATAGAAAACATCTTTCAAGCCACCAACATAACATCAACCCATAAAAGAAAAACAGCTATATGGATACACATAACTGCCATCTACGAAATTTGATGCTGGTATACTCAGGCCAGATGGGGGGATAAGACTATATCTATAGAGACAATCACAAACATAATAAACCTTAAAATAAAACATGAAATTAACTTACTATGAGCTTTGGTAATAAAAAAATCACCTACCAGAGACAAAAAAATAGATACTATTCTAAAATTCATCAAATCATCTTCATAAAATCTGTAATCAATTAAAATCAAAATCAAAAACATTATAAATAAAAAGCATGCTTAGATGCATTTTTTTAAAAAAAAAAAAAAAAAAAAAAGATAAAGCTTGCAAAAAAGATATAACAAAAGTCAAAAATAGAAAACCAGAAAGCTCAGTTAAGGAGATACAAGAACAAAACATCTCAGACAACATTTTAAAAAATGGAATTTGGGAAATTTACTTTAACTTAGAAATGCTAATCCATAAATTACAGCAATATGTAAATAGATAAACAAACAGACACATGTATTAATAAGCATATAAACAAATTCAATTTGGATAATAATAGACATAAGATATAAAAAGTTTCAGAACAAATTGTAAATAGGAGCTACTAGTAACCAACCAAAATATAAGTAGTACACAAAGTTGAAAAGAAAGCCTAATGTTAACATATATTAAAAGAGCATATTGGGCAACAAATAGCATATACAACAAGGTGTTTTTTAACCAAGCTAGTAAAATTGTTCTAACACCAGACAGAGAAGATGAAATTGTGGTTATGCTAACAGAACAAGATGCATTAAAGGTTGCCTTGCTATATATAACAAAAGAGATAATCAAGAAAGCAGAAGAAAAATAGCCAGATAAGAAGATTAATATTACCAAACAAGACAAGAATATTATAGTAAAAGAGCCTATAATAAAACAAATACAAGACAAGTAGAAAGAAGTATAGCAACAGTCAACAGAAGCAAATAAAAACCAAGAAGAAAAGGTAAGTTAGGCAAACAATAATCAAGAAGAAAAAAATTTAGTTATATAAGAAAAAGACATAGAAGTACAAAAGAAAGAGCAAGAACAAGAAGTCATTAAAATAGAAATTGAGAAAGAAATTGATATAGTCAAGGAACTCTTAAAAGAAAGCATATAGGCCCCAAGCAAAAGAAACTGTAACCAAGACAACAGTCTGCTTGCGAATATACCAGCACACAATATACTAGAAAAAACAAAAGACGAGTATATAAAATTTATTAAATGGTCACTAAGAAACAATATATATGTTAAGGATATTAGAAAAGTTTTTAAAAGAGGAAACTTATGAATAGAAGTGGATTTTGACTGTAAATATAGCAGAAGTAAAGCAATACAAAGAATCAGCAAGAAGGAGGATGACTAGTACAGAATGATACCTGAAGAAAAAGAAAGCAGCATGAGAAAACAAATACAACACAATAAGAAATATCAAAAAAGAAGCAACAATAAAGTGAGAACTAAAGAAAAAAACCAAAAATAAAAAGAGAATGAAATTAAAACAAATGAAAACCAATATGAAATAAATGAAGAACCTGAAAACAAAGATTACTGACAATTTGAGATCTACCAACAAATATAAACAAAAAAGAATTAGAATACATCTGTAGAAGATTTAGGAAAGCATATATAGTAAGAATTAAAAGGTCAAAATATAAGGCCTTAGCAGTAGTTAAGACAGAAGAAACATGTGAAGGCATCTCATAGGTTATATTAGTGAATAGTAATAAACTGGTATGAGTAACTAAAAAAAATAGAGGACCATAAAGCTAGAAAGAGACAAAGAAATTATATAACAAAACTGACAGAATTACCAGAAAGCATCTCAGAAGTCTTATTATTATGAATTTTAAAAAACAAGGAAGCCAAGTCAGTTCATATACCTCTAAATAGAAATAAAAACCAAAGAAGAACAACAACAGTTATGTTTGCAACAGAAGAGAATATAAAAGCAGCCTAATCAAAACTATTTATATATAATAACTTCTGATTATACTGAATAAAAAAAGAAAAAAGAATAATAGAATAAACAAAAGACCTTAAAGAAAAAAGAGGAAAAAACTAGAAAAGGTCTAGCCAAATCTCTAACACAGAAGAGAGCAACAGCTAAAAAGAAGAACAAAAATTCAAGCTAAATACAAATAGAAGAAAGAAAGAGAGAAATAAAAGAAGAGAGGATCAAGCAGCAGCAAGCAGAAGTAGTATACAAGACCAAAATACAAAAAACAAAACAAGATATACAAATCTATCTAAAGAAGAGAAAAGACCACACAAAAAAGAAACAACAGAACCCAAAACTCAGACACAAAAAGAAGCTATATATACAAGTAATTTCTTAAATCAAATTCTAGAAAGACTTGAAAGATTGGAAGAGACAAGAAGTACAATATGGAATAGTTTAGCCTACTGCTCCTAAAGGCATACCAGTTGAATATATAAGTATAGACTAGAAGATTGGAGAGTTTCTGTATAGAAAAAGAAGAATTTTTGAAGAAGGCAATGCAGAAACATTTTTGCTTATAGAAAAGAAGTAAAGGCAAAAAGAAAAGAACAGGTAGAAGTCACAAAAACAAAAAGTGAGCAACTAAAAGAAAAATAAAAACAAGGAAAAAAAGAAATAAAAATAGCATGTTACAATATTAATAGACTTAAAACTAAAAGATGGAAATTAAAAAACCTAATAGAATAAGCAGAAAAAGAAGAAATTACAATATTAAAGATTACAAAAATGAATCTTATAAAAAGAGAAAAAAGATTTTTAACATATGCAGCAAATAAGAGTTATGTTGAATTTTGGTCAGGTGTAGCAAAAGACAAAAAAAAAAAATCTGGTATAGGTATTTTAGTTAACAAACAATGAAAAAACATATGAGTGCAGTCAAAAAGATAAATAAATATTTAATAGAGCTTATACTATATTTCAAGCAATTGGAATTAGTAGTTCTGAGAGTCTACATATTATTAAGTAACAAGGTAATAAGAAAAAACATTTAACAAACAATAGTAGAAATAGTTATGAAAAGAAAAAGACAGAGTGTGGTGACCTAGTGAAGTAGTCAGATTGTTAACCTTTCAAGTGATAGGTTGGGTGTTCAAATCTCATCAATGGCAAAAATTTGGATAATCACCTATATAATATTCATATTATAGCAACTGTTACTAATGGTTGGATTAGGATATCTGTAATGGCAGTTGCATTAGCATAACTGGCAGGTCATAGAGCATCTGTGTAAGTATGGCATTACATAAAGGAATGCAAACTGACAAATCAAGTGGTGCAAACACTAGATAAGTTCTTGTGGCTATGTAAATCTGTTGAAATTGGATAACAAGAAGTCCATTTAGGAAGACCCAAATAGAGAGATAGCTGGATCTTTGACAGCCCTACTGTAAAGGCTAGCTTAAAGAAACAGATACCAAGGTTGTAGTACCTGGTCATAGTAGCTAGATAGGCAAGAACCTCTGAGTTGGGAGTCTCAGAGGTACTACCAACCAGACTGTCAGAATGAATCGAAGAAAAAGGATATTAGCTAACCTGATATACCAATAGACTGGTCATAGTCTTATACAGGCTATTTGGATTGAAAGTTTGGTAAAAAGGCAGGTAAAAAGGCAGGGGTATACTAAAGTACTGAGGTTATGCTGTGAAGTAGATGCTGGGGTCTAAGTGAACTCTACAAGAGCATAGCAGTTTAATAGTTAACTCTAACTGCAAGTGTTGGTTCTGCTATAGCGATACCTAGGTTAGCTGTAAAAATGGGTACAGAAGGCTCTGAGAGGTTTATCTCGAGGATAAATTAGTCATAAGGTTGAGATGATGATCTGGGCATCTGGGTATAACCTAGTGAGTTAACACAGATTACAGATTTAGAGGGTTTAAAGTAAAACACCCAAGCAGGAGTGTTAGGTGTAGCAATTGGTAGGGAATCTTTGGGCAGACTCCTTAAATAGGTAATATAGAAAAGTTACACATATAGCCAATTGTACTCTCTCCTGTAGTGGTTCATTGAACCACATTACTGATAAGTGATTAATAAAAGTCAAAAGACCAAAGAGGTCATCTTAATACCAAAAAAAAAAAACTGAAAAAAAAGACATATACAAATAGTAATTCTAGGTGATTTTAATCATATTGTAAATGATGTATTGAACAAACAACATCTACAAGTAGCAAGTTTTAGAAGATTACTCATCTTTAATTGAATAAAGAAGCAAAACTTTAGTAATACTTACAGAGATATGCATCTAACAAGCCAAGAGTATATATGGTCAAATGGAGAAGCTGCAACAAGAATTGACTACATATGGGTATCAGAAGGATTGGCTTTAGGTTTACAAAAGGCAAAAATTAAAGAAGCAGAAGAAATTACTAAAAGTGATCATAAAATAGTAAAAGCAGAGATATGGATCAAACACATAATGGCAAAGAATAACAAACCTAAAATTAAAAGAAAAAAACAGTCAAGAACAGTATATTTATATGATAAGCAAAAGAAGAAGACTAGGAAAATTATATGCAAGAGTTGCAGAAACAACTAGAATTTAAAGAGATGCTAAAAAGAACACAAAAGAAAGAGCAAGAAGAGGAAAAAGAAAAAAACAGAATAAACAACATATAAGACATAATAGAAGAAGCAATCATTATGGCAACAACTAAGCATCTATATAAAAAAATATATATATAATACAGTAATGAATAGAAGAAGTAATCAAAGGAAACAGTACCAAGAAAAGAATATTGTAAAGCTGCAAAGATTAATCAAATATGCAAAGACAAGAGAAAGCCAAGAAGTAACAAAAAAAGAAAGAATTAAAACAAATAAAAAACTACAAACATTAAGAGAGAAAAAAGATATAAAGCTGCCAAAACTACATAAATAATGATTAAAGCTTGAATAAAAGATATGAAAGGTTGGCAGAAACTGTTACAAGAGATAAAGAAGAAAGAATGAGAACAAAATCAAAGAAAGCAGATAGAAGAGAATATAGATAAGAGATATAAAATAATTAAAACAGACCAAGGGAAAATAATA